TTTTCCGCCTTAATTTCACATTCTTGTAAACAACATATTTCCTGCTATCCTTGAGATTTAATTAGCAAATGAGATATTTATAATATTAAGGACTAATTCATCTGCATACATATGTCAGAAAGAAAAGAGTCTGGCAATTTAACTATGTGCATAGCAATAGGAATAATATTTAGCCTGCATCTGACTGGCTCAGAAGGCTAATACCCAACAGTTTCGGGCTTTCACATGTTATTTATATAAGGACAAGTCTTGATCACTTTCATCACAATACATGATTTCATTGGGAGCAAGACAAGCAGGATCTAACCTACTAAGGGTAAAATACAGAAGAGAACACTAGAAAACAGAGTTTCAAATTTGGGAACCAGTCTGCTCCTTTAGTCATCAGGAACAGGACTGGGCTCTACACATAATAGATTTCTGTATAATCCAATTGAAACATGTCAGCAACCTCAAATTCCTTAGAGTATGTAACTCATTATGAGTTATATAAATCAAGATGACTTTACATAAGACTCTTGCTAAAAACATTAAGCAAGGATTCAATTTTTTAAAAAATTCTAATATTTTCATAACTAAAAATAAGTCCAAGTTACAAATCCATGAAGTTCGGCAGAAGCAAAGGGGAAAATTGAGCCAATATGCCAAACATGCTTCTCACAGGAATACTACAAAATGTATTTTCCCATTGAATTCAATGGGAAAAGTTATGCAGGTTTCCAGGTCTGCGGAGTGACTTCATGTGTGAACGTGGATTCATCTGGTATAACAGCACCTAGATATCTCAACTACATTCAGGTCTTCTTTGTGTTAGGTATTGTACATACATATAAGAAACTGTAAGCTCTTTAGGATATGCACTATCAAAAAAGACACAAACAGTAAAAAAAAATTTCATAGTATCCTTATTTTACACCCTTAGAATGCAACAACTGCTTCAACTTCATTCCTCTCAGTGCAATCGGAGATCAGCACACAACATCATTATTCTATTTTCAGAAGAGAAAGAGGCAAACTAACCCTCCTCCAGGCTCAGCCTCAGGTCTTTGCAGCATCTCTGCAAAATAATTTGAGCCGCTCTAAAGTCACGGAACCAAAAGACACAGGCTTTATGAGCATCTGAGGCACCAGGGATCCACAATGGGGGGGGGGGGGGGAGGAGGAGGAGACTGAAAATAAGTTGCGGTTGTTAGGGAAAAAATAAATAAAATTGAAAAAAAATCATGACCAGCACCTGGTTGAAATTTTAGTCACTATTTTTGCAATAAAAATTCATAATTTACTTCATTCAGGAAAGCTATGAATAGCATTCACGTTAAAGCCTGCAAAAATCAAGGGACTGAAGCAGGCAGCTTCAAAGGCCTACACTTCCTCTCTCTCAGTCTTTCACAGTTTCTCACAATTTTCTCACAATTTTAACTTAAAAAGGAATGTATCCCAAGCCTGTAACTAAGCAAGTTTATTGAACCACATTAATATTTTCCTGAAGGCAATTGGCTGATTAATATTAATCTATTCTACTCTATCCTATCCCCAACTACACACCACAATATTTTCTCCCACATCAGAACCTATGAAGATTAGTGTTATTTAAAAAGACTGAAAAAAGAATTAAAGAGTTGCAAATCAAATGTTCTTTGGCCAGGGTATGGACCAGATGATCTAATTTTTAAATTTTTGAAAAACTATGAAATAGATACCGTATTATAAAAAGACAAGAGTAACTGACCAATGCTGATTCACAAAATTAGAGACCCTCTGATCTGGTCTCTATAGTGGTTAAACTTGCAGTAATTATTTACAGTCAGGACCTGAACCACTTAACTGGGAGGCAAGACATGTTCAATTGTTAAAAAGAGACCCTTCCAAAGCCTGTCCAGTAGGAAATCAAAGCAACGATTCTTTTAAAGAAAATTACTCAGAATTTCAACTACAAACTGTATACCACTTATTTTAGACAAAATTGTTAGAAATAGCACATCATCTCTCCTGAACAACATTACGGTCTCCCACCCTCATCTCATCAATGGGAAAATGGTTAGTAGCAAAGGTAAAATGCCAGATGTGAAGAAAAGCTTTTGTGGCATACTGGAGAAGGCAGGCAAGATTAGGGTAAAAAACGTATTCATACTCTTAAAGTATCTTATAACAAAGGTACTCAGAACACTTTACATAAACACTTTTCAAACTTCACAGTACTCCATGAGGTAGTTTAGTTTAGTTTACGGAGTAGGATGCTGAAAACATGGTGAAGTCATACGACAATAAAATGACAGTGCCTGGAATAGAATCCTGAAGTCTGACTCCTCTCTTGTGCTTTTAGATGAAGTAACACCCAAAGGTAATAAAACTCTACAAATATATAACAAAATGGAAAAGGTCTAGACATTCTGCAATCCAAGGCCCAGTACACCACAATGTATTAGTAATAAGCCAGGAAAAAAGTTGTAAGAGAATATAGAGGGGAACCCCCCCCCCCAAAAAGCCAAACCTATTCAAAGGGACACAAAATGTTTAAATGAAACTCTTACATTCATTTTAATCAGAAGAATTTGTACCCAGACAGACAGAAGCAGCAGAGTTCCAGGTTTCTACCCCCTTCCAGCTAAGAATTAAAAACACCAACATCACCACAAGGAAAGACTCTATGCACACAAGTATCTTCAAAAACATATTTTCAGGCCTGTAAAGGTCTCTCTCTCTCAAACCCATGACATTTTGCTGAAGTTTTTTTATGGTATATGCTACTATATTACAAGCCAAATCCTGCCCTCTGTGACAAAGTTGCTCCTCTATCTTGGCGGGTCCTGCGCTTATTGGCGGATTTTCTTGCCTCAGAGATTCACCATGTGGGTTGGGGAACAGCCCAGAGACCTTCCCCTCTGGAAGAACCCACAGTCCAGGTCAATTGGGAGGTTTGGGGGGAACCCGGGCCCGCCCTCTACTCCGGGTTCCAGCCCAGGGCCCTATGGACTGCAGCTGTCTATAGTGCCTCCTGTAACAGCTGCATGACAGCTACAACTCTCTGGGCTACGTCCCCATGGCCTCCTCCAAACACCTTCCTTATTCTCACCACAGGACCTTCCTCCTGATGTCTGATAACGCAGTCCTCCAGCAGCACACCCTCTCAGCTCCTTACACCTCTTGCTCCCAGCTCCTCACACTTACACCACAAACTGAAGTGAGCTCCTTTTTAAAACCCAGGTGCCCTGATTAGCCTGCCTTAATTGATTCTAGCAGCTTCTTCTTAATTGGCTCCATGTGTCCTAATTAGCCTGCCTGCCTTAACTGGTTCTAGCAGGTTCCTGATTACTTGAGTGCAGCCCCTGCTCTGGTCACTCAGGGAACAGAAAACTACTCATCCAGTGACCAGTATATTTGCCCTCTACCAGACTCCTGTACCCCACTGCTCTGGGTCTGTCACACCTCTTACAGAAAAACCCCCAAAGGAAAGCAAAATAATTTAGTAAACCCTGAGAGTTCAAACTGGTGCAGCTGGAGATAGTGTCTGAAGGAGTTCCTTTCCTGAAGAGGGATTGGGATGAAGCCCATTGCCTTCAAACCCTCTGCTATTCCAATGAATCATTGGGAAGCATCAAGGATTTTGGAACAACTAAATGGAGGACCAAGAAATCCACACATTACTCCCTAGACTTCTTCCTATTGGCAGCACAGGAAGCCTACTCCCACTGCCTCTCACCCACACTGTAAGACTACCATATCACCCTCAAGGGATGGAGGGTCAACAGCAAGGGCCAGGTACTTGTGATATTTAGGCCCCAGTTCAAAGCATTTAAGCATGTGCTGAACAGAGGCTGGATTTCAACAAAGGACTTAACTTCAAGCACATGTTTAAGCATGGTGCTTAATAATGCTTTGCTTCATCAGGGTGTAAACTATGACAGCCTCAGCTTTAACTTTAAACTAACCTGGAATAACATGCATGTCAAAGTGTATCCCCCTGCTCTGCCCCAAGCCTGGCCAAGTCTTCCAAAGCACAATTAGCCAAAAATATGTGCTTTTGCACAACTGAGAGTTAATGACATTTTCACGTATCTTTCTCTAGAAGTGGAGTTGACAATTTGGACTCTATAGCTTAGTTCTGAGCTTGTGTTTTTGTAGTTTTGAGTTAAGTTCATAACATTATCGTACTGGATTTTACACAACTCCACAGTGCCTCAGACAACTAAATTAAAAATTCAGTAAGAACACTGTACATGCACCAGCACATATTTTTCATCACTTGACTTTCTTGGTCTGTCCAAACTTAGCAAAATGAATGTTGATCATTAAAAACCTGCCACTTATGAAATCTGAAATTTCAGA